GGAGGGGCCGGGCCGCGCCGGGGCAGGCGGAGAGCAGGAGGCGGTGGAAGGCTCCCTCTCGGGCCAGGGCCACGCTCCTGTTCGCCGTGGGCTTCCGCAGGATCCGGAGCTCGGCGCCCACCACCTCGTCAGTCTCCGGGAGGCTGGAGACATCGAAGAGGAACCTCTGGCCGGCCTCGGCCGGGGAGTCGTCTGGAAGAGAGCAAGCAAAGGGAAACTGAGGCAGGGAGCGCGAGCGGTGACCAGTCCCGCTGGGCCCGGCGTGGATCGACCTTGCGCTGGGGCGGATTGTGAGAACCTGCTTAGCCATCTGACGGGCTTCCCGGGGGCTGTGCAACCCTCGGGAGCCCAGGCAGCCGGGGGCGGGGGGCTGACTATGAACCGTGCAGGCACTGGGATCCCCGTGCAAAGAGGAGACCCGCAGCGAAAGCCACAATCTGTAATTCGATGCCCATTTAGCAATTCTCCAGGATTTCGCCCCTTCCCCCTCCATGCCAAGTTAAACATTTTGAAATCTGTCAGGGCAATTTAACTCCAATCTATCTATCTGTCTGTCTGTCTGTCTCTGTCTATCTATCTGTCTGTCTGTCTGTCTGTCTGTGTCTATCTATCTACCTGTCTGTCTGTCTATTTAAATATGTGCTATCTATCTAGCTGGCTGGCTGTCTATCAGTCTGTCTAACACGGATACAGCTTGAATGTTGCGTGTGGGAATAGATCCCTTGTGAGTCACATTAAAACCCAAACTCATGTTCCAAGCCACACGTGAACATTCACCGGGAGTCATTAAATGAACAAGAGGTGAAGAAAACACAATTCAAAGGCAGGGAAAGGAACGTAAGGAGCTGGCTGTGAACCCTAAGGGCGCTTCCCCCCGTCCCCAACTAGCAATCTGATCACCGAACATTGCAAGTTCTGCGAGATACCCTGGCCTGGTCTGACTCTTGGCCAAGTCGCGCCTCGCACTTGCTGGGGAAGTGACTAGTGCCCTAGCAACGAAGCTAATGGTGCGAAGTATTTGCACATTAGTGTCTTCTCTCAAACGGAGGGCGGCCGACTAGAAAAGCAGAGCGTTGCTTTGATTCACCATTGAAGCGTCCCTGGGTCTTTTCTCCAGAGAGGAAAAACAACCTATTTTGGTGCCTTCTCTGATACAGTATTTTCCCCCTTCGTGGTCATTTTTTAAAACAGATTTAAAATTCCTGCGAGGGGTAGATAAGGAGATCCCTTTGAAGAGCTCATCTGGTTTCGTTTTGCTCTGAAACTCACAGATACTGTGCAGACTTTCCTCGGCATTAAACGATTTGCGCTCACAGCCAGGGACACGACGGCTGAGCGGCAGAAAAGTTTGCTCGATACATATAAGATTGGAGGCTGAAGGGGTCTTTCTTGCGGGTGATACGGGGACGGATTATTCATTTAAGCAGGGTCGCTCCGTTTTTTAAAAGGCTGGGCCATCGGGTTTTAAGTAGAAATCCTGCTTTCTGTTTAAAAGCTGATATCACGGCACCGCCTATTGACATACGTATACTAATAATTAATAATAAATTAATACATAAGAAGTGACATTTATTTTACATAGACTCTCCCAATGATTTTACTGACACGGGCACAAAAATTAGGGATGTCTCTTTATACGTATTCAAGGGCCTTCTGGTCCTATATCTAGAGGAGCCTAAAATGTTTATTTTAGTTCATGTTAAATAATATTCAGGATCGTACTGCTATTGTTATATTTCTTTATTTACCGTACCAGATGGTGTCATTGTTTTTTGTCCAAGCAGAACACACGATAGTATCAACGAGAAATCAGCGGCAGCTTGTTGTCCAGTAATATATAATAATAATAGACATTTTGCTTACTATTTAACATGGACATTTCAGGCTTCCGAAGCAGATTTGGACACATCAGGCTATAGAGTTGTACAGTTTGTATCTGCATGGCAGAATATAAGGTAAATAAAAACCTGCGCGACTGAACAAAACGAGGCGTTTTCATTTGGCCAGTGACGAGAGAGAGAGAGAGAGAGAGAGATTTACCGTCTTTCATTTGACAGCTAAGGCAGTCACCCTCCAGCAGATCTATCTTCGTTAGGGAAAACTGCACTTGCCAGATACCAGCTAAGTCCAGGCAGCAATTCCTGAGCTGTCTTAAGTTCTGCTGTGTTGAGCGCTTTCACTTGCCACGCTTTTACTATTTATTAAATATTAACTATCAGTTTACACCCTAATCTAAATATATTTTTACAGCCCAGCGTGTCCGTTCCCAGCCTCCTGGCCCAGTCAGCACTTCAATTTCGTTACATCATAAATAAGAGCGAAAGCGCTCTCCTTTTGACTGGACGTGGGAAGCCTGGAGCTCCCAGACCCGGCTTTTATGAAGCCCCCACCGCTGGGCAATGCATTCTCGGGGGATATCCCAGAACTGCCGTGGTGGAGCCTGGATCATTTGACCGCGCTTCCTAAGGCCTATAGCGACCGACTTTCGCTCCCTGGTTGCAAACTAGCAGGCGATCCTTCGAACCCGACTAGCCAGCCACCTACACGTGCGATCGGCTGGGA